CTCTCTCTCTCTCTCTCTCTCTCTCTCTCTCTCTCTCTCTCGTTCTCTCCCTCCATCCCTCAATTTTAGAGCTTTTCCTGGAGGAATGGTAGGATGGGTGGACAGAACCTGTTCAGGTTGAACATCAGAAAGAAATGTGCAACTACTAGATTTTCTCAGTGGTAACCAAGAATAAATTGAATGTATTTGAATTGTTTAGATTAGGCTAACTTGACTCTGAGATTGCCCAGTGTCAGTATAATACTTTACCACTACCCGAGATTGGTTCTTTTCAAAGAAGTCTTCCAACAAACAAGGCTGCCATGAACCAATCACATCCATCAGAAAAAGGTGTATGCTTTCCTTCAGATTCCTAGGTTATTATATTCTACTTTTAGTGAGTAAAATATAACTGACAGCTCATCTTTTGATAATTTATCAATTGTTATTTGAGGCATTCAAGCCTGACTGAAAAAGGAAGCCCTTTGTTTTCAAAATATTTAGGTTTTTTATAATGGCATATGGTATGTCGTATATGCCATGCTGTGCTGTGTGTGCTGTAACTATGCTAAACTCTACAAGGCAGACCTAGAATTACAGTTGAATTGTAATAATTTTAAGTTATTTTAAATACATTTGAAAAATAAATATATTTATCCCAAAGGCAGATTATCCTGAATTTAAAGTAATCCCCACTACCACAAAAGAAAGCCTATATCTCAGCTGACCCAATATCATACTTTCAATAAATGAAAAATAATGGTCTCATTTTACAGATAAATTACTTTGGAAGAAAAGAAAAAAAAAGAAAAAGAATGATCCCCAGTAAACATAATGACAAAGGAAGGGGAAAGGGGCCAGAGTAAAATGGGACAATTTTTATTTTTATTTTGGGAAGTTTTAACCACTGACAAAAGCCAGGGAGAAACAACAGGTCAGACAAACCACAATGGAGACATCCCTTTCTCTTATAGGATATAATTTTAGTATCAAAGCTAGGCACCCTGGTTTTCTTCAGTAGCAATGGAGAGAAGAAATGGTGGTTCCAGGTTCATTATTGGCCTTTTTTCATGTCAGTTTCCCACTAACCATATAAGGCATTAACTAATCCTTGGGTCAACATCACTAATCTGTCTTACCTCTGACGTAATACCCATTGCCAGATTTGCAGGTCTTCAGATGTTATAGATATGCTGATTGGTTTTCTCTTCTGATTAAGTTGTTGTCCCATTAGCACATCATTAGCCAATGGGGAAATGCATTTCATTCAGGAATGCTGGAACATATGTGGTGTGGATTCCTTGGGCAATTTGAAGACCTCCCCATGAACTCATCGAAGCAGATTGTCAATTTTTCATCCAACATTATTCCATTTGGGTGACATTCTGAAATTCAGAAAGATTGGAAAGATGAACTCTACCACAAATGTGCAATTATGAATAAAACAGGCACCATTAAACCCACCCTAGGGGGAATTATCAGAGCATTAAAAAGCCCAACAAATCACTCTATGACTGTGCTTGAATAGCTAAGTTCTGTAAAAAGGCACAACTGAAATTGGTTAACCACAAGGCAATCCAAAATAGGTGTTTTCCTATTTCACTGGAGAAAAGTTCTGGTGTGCAAAACGGACCCGTGCTGGAAATGAGATCAAAAGAAAAGATGGAGGTTAACACAGCATTATGCTGGTGCTGTAACTGTTAGTAGACATGGGACCTCTGCTTCCTGTGATTAATTTAATTTCGGGGACCATCGGCAAGTGGTTCAGAATGGTCTGACACCCCATCCAAAGGCTTGCTATCTGAGATGCTTCTTTCAACCAAAATAATATCACCATTTTCTCCCTTTTCAATCTTTTACTCCATTCCTATCCCATTGCAAGTTCTAAGACCAAAGGCATAGCTCCAGATTCATTCTGTTTTAAAGGCTAGGATTATGCTTTGGGGACTATATGCATGTGTGAAGATGGAAGGAGGTTACAAAAATAAGAATAAAAACTTGAAATCAAAGCGGCTCCTGTTAAGACGAAGGTCTTACAGACCAGACTGAGGTTGGCTGCTGCCCAAAAGGGAGCTGAAATTTATAGAGGACAAGCATGAAAAGCTGCCCAGGTCAAAACTCAACTTTTTTACTTTTGTCTGTCCTTCAGGTTATGATGCTGGGAAGCTCCCAAATGGCAGAGCTGCTGCTGCGGAGAGGAGCTGATCCTAACCGGCCGGATCCCTCCACAGGTGCGACGCCAGCCCATGACGTGGCCCAGGAGGGATTCCTGGACACTTTGAAGCTCCTACACCACTGGGGGGCTCACTTTGATCACCTGGACAGATGGGGCCGCAGCCCGCTAGACCTGGCAAGACAGAATGGGCAAAATCACGTGGTTGATTACTTACAAGAATTACCTGGTTGAAAATGTTTCAGTATGATACCCAAGGAAGCCGTAGAAAGACAATTGCAGGGGAATTGCTCATGAAAAGTAATGAAAATAACAGCAATAAAGACCATGGTGGCTTGGACAGGCCTGGCTGGGATGTTCATACTGGGTGCCTCTTTTTTTTTTCTTCTTTCTCAAGACTCGTGGAAAGACTAGAAGTTCCGACTGAAACTGGGGTCTTCCTTTTCTTTTTTTTTTTTCTTTTCCAGGCTTTTTATTTAATATTTTTAAACCCCCCACAAGCATTTAAAAAATATTAACTGCATATATAAGAAATTTATCAACTGGGGTAATTATGAGTTCTCTTTTCTGGATTGGGAATTTGATACATGCTCAGATTTTCTTCCAGCTTCCTCCCAAACGGAACTGTGACTCAGCACAGAATTCTCTGCCAACCCCTGCAATGTACGGCCTGGTTCCAATGAATTTAGGTTCCTTTTTATCCTGCTTGTTCAAAATAAATAATTTATTCCTATTTGGAGAAGAGCGGAAGTGGATGGGGGTGGAATGGACAGGAAAGAGCTTCAGATGATGCACCCTTTCCAACCTGCTTGGGAACTCAATGGTCCCCCACCTACACACACACACACACACACACACCTAGCTGTGTCGCATCTCTTGGCTTCTCTTTATAGACTTCTTTCAACAGATCCAACATCCTGGCAAGATTTCAGCTCTCTGGCAACGAATGGCCAGAAAAACCCTTTTGCTGAGAGCGGAGTGGCTTCCCCCAAGCCACAACCTGTCATCTTATCCTAGGCAGAAAAGAATGCCCATCAACTCTGGGGTGCAAAGCTGAGTCCAAGTCGCTCCCCACTGCCCTACTTTCAGGAATGCTTGAAGAGGAGGGTCAAAAAAAGACAACATGTCAATTGCAACCATATGATCATCTAAGACCTTTTCTATATGTGTCATACATGTGCTCCTCCCCCAACACCCCACACACAAAAGAATCAGGGCTTTGACATGCAATTATAAGTCTTCCATCCTGACTTTTTAAAATCTACTCCTGAAATGTCCTCACTCCTTTCTTAATGGTGAGGACTGTCCCACTATCAAGCCTGTGGCTTTGGGCAGCAGATGGATATAATTCAATTCAAACCTTGAATTGTCAGAGTACAACATGTGTACAGTGAGATTGGCTGAGCATCAAATTTAGAGTACTCTCCCATTCTCTGCCAGAATGCCTCTGCTAGAGAGCACCATATGTATCTACTCATAATAGGAGTAACAAGTAACAACTCCTAATCTCATTTGTGTTCCTCGAAATCATACATACATACATACATACATACATACATTGGATAGGCAATTTCAAACTTCCCATTTTTACTACAATTGCTCCATCACCAATATCACTACTATGTTCCTTGAGCCAAAAATTTTCCCCTTCCCCGAAAGATGCAAGGGAAGTGTTCACCTTCCCTTGGAATATTATAGGACAGTAAAAGATTCCATATTCAAAGGCAACAGAAGTGCCTTTGAGCAAATAAGAGTGCTCTTAATTCTTGAAAGCAGCTGCTGCTTGGCCTAGGTTTCTGGCAGCTGTTCTTGGCAAATGCTGTGCAGTCCCAAAATAAGACTGATTTGAATTAAGAAAGTTATAGACATTGGCTACATTGATATCCCAATATGTTCTAGAGAATATCTTTTTTTGCCTTCTATTCTGACACGCTGCACAGATTTCATAAGCCAGAGGCTATAATGTGATGTATAAATAAATGAGAATTGTAGTACGGGGAAGGCTAGGTTATAACTTGCCAGTGGAAAATAAGCCATTTTCTGTGACATTTTAAACTACAATTAACATACTATTTTTTTTTTCATTTTTATTTTGAAATTGCAATGCTTTTGGAAGAATCCGGTTTTTGGTTTTGTTGGAAAAAAGTGCAAATAAGAGCAAATAAGATGATTAAAGGCCTGCAGACTAAAACTTATGAAGAATGGTTGGAGGATTTGGGTTTGGCTAGTCTAGAGACGAGAAGGACTGGGGGGGACATGATCGCGGCATTCCAGTATTTGAGGGGCTGCCACAAAGAAAAGGGGGGTCAATTTATTTTCCAAAGCACCAGAGGGCAGAACAAGAAACAATAGATGAAAACTAATCAAGGAGAGAAGCAACCTGGAATCAAGGAGGAACTTCCTAATAGTGAGGACACTTAACCAGTGGAATAGCTTGCCATCAGACATTGTGGGTGCTTCATGACTGGAGGTTTAAAGAAGAGACTGGACAGCCACTTGTCTGAAATGGTATATAAGATCTCCTGCTTGAGCAGGGGCTGGACTAGAAGACCTCCAAGGTCCCTTCCAGTTCTATTCTGATTCCGATTCTGAATTGTTCTATTTTTATTCAGTAGTGAGAGCTGAGGCAAAAGCTGGTCAGTAGATCATTTACAATTGCTTCCAAATGAAAACAACAACAGTTAGGGTTAGAAATCCACCTAGGAGTAAGACTATACCACATGCTGTCATTTCCTCAACTGACTGAGGACCCGTCCAAAGAGGAGGAGGAGAACTCAGACAAAGTGATCCATAGGAGACAGCAGAGATTCCTAGTCCAGTCCTAGCAATAGCACCGAGAGTGCCTCAGGCTTGAGGTGTGACTCAGACCTTGGACTCTTGAGTCTCTTTCCCCAGAAACGCCTCTGCTTCGGTACGACAGTAAGGAAGGCGAAGAAGGCTCAGCTGTGCAGAAGAGCGTGTGGGCACAGAGGGGCTACTGACTTCATGTGTGTACGGGGAAATCCGAAAAGATCAGTCCATTGTGCTCAAGCAGGATCTGAGAACTCCTCAGTTTTAACTCCCACATAATGCACACCAGCACTGAACGGATTCTCTTGACAACCAAGCCTTCTTGGTTCGCATGCCTTGAGCCATCTCCTGGTGTCTATAGTTGCCAAGAAACCTACAGGGACAATGTGAAATAATGTTACACTGCTTTTCTTCAGGGATGTTGTTCAATTGTCCATATTAGTCTCCGGCCTTCGGATTTCTCTGGTGATCTTCCATCCAACTGTTAACGAGGTCTGGCCCCACTGAGCTTTTTGAGCTGCTGCTCAGAAAAAAAACAGATGTGACTCCAGCCCAGTACTTTGCTTTAAATCAATTAAGCTACAGTGCTAACTCTTTTGATATTCAGCCCTGAGGGGAGTGTGGTAGTTCGCCAGGCTCACAAGCTTCCAGGCCAAGTAACAGCTTGTACTGTGCAGTATTGGCATCCTAATCAGCAAGTGTGGATTGTGGAGGAAGGACAGCAGCGTCTGGTCCTTTCCAAAATTAATCTCTGGGCCTTAAACTAGACCAGGGGTGACCAACCTTGGCATGGCTGTCTTAGGAATTCAGGGGGTTGAAGTCCACAAGTCTTAAAGTTGCCAATGGTGGAGACTCCTGAGTTAGATAATCACTAGATCAGAAATGGTTTGGGGCCCTTTTAATGATGACGCTATAGTCATTGCGTGTTCCTGAGTGTGCGGCTATCAGTTCTCTTTCTAGCACAGTCACAGATCTGGATTAAAGCTAAAATCAATAGACAACATTGTTGAGATTTTGGCAGAAGAGGAGAAAACTACGGAGCAGTGAAAAATGCCAAACTGCAGTACACAGAACAAGCTGCCTTCACTGAATTACACAACAAAGGAAGCAAAAGCTGAGTCAAGCCAAGAATTAAAACAGATTACAGATTACTTCAGAAAGAAAAGAAGAGAAGTGGCTGAGAAATAGCACAGGAAGCGTTCAAAGTGCAACGAAGAACAAGAAAAACTAGGTAGGAAAACAACAACAAAAATGTCTTTTCCCTAACACATCACAATTCTCACAGTGCCGTAAAGTATTCCTTTACTTAAGAACAAGCTTGCTAGGTTGAGAAAAGAAGACTACACTTCCTCTCCAAATGAGGTTTAGGAAAGATAATCACTCCCTAGAGACCATTTTGGGAGAGCTTTGTCTTTGTGGTTTAAAAGCATTTAATACTGCTTTTGGTGTGTAAGATTCCTAGTAATCAAGCTATTAGAGGATAAGATAGCAGAGCTCTGGTTCTTTTGAAGTACTCTAAGGATACCTTCAGACTGATAAAGGATCTTGCACGGTTAGATGTTGTGAGGTGGCAATTAGTAGCACCCAGTGTCAGAGTTTTCAATAAGTTGATCAAGTTTAGATTGGGTGTTCTTTAGGGAAACAAAAATGGCCACAATGTGGTAGAACCATAAAGACAAAGCTTTGTTTCTACACCTTGAATGGCATTGACCTCACGTATCATTGCAAAATGATTTGAAATAACTTTATCAACCTTTCTAAAACTAAAAGTACAGTAACAGTAGTTTTACATTTTAACATACATACACAAATGTACACTCACTGTAAAACTGGTGTCCTGGTAAGCAAGCTGCAGTCATATATGGTTTTAAACCACATAAAATGACCCCCTTGGCATTGCTTAGGTAGCGATGCCATAAGAGAAGTTTTAACTGGACAAAGTCTGAATACTTTCACATTCCTATCAGACAATTGCTGCATGCCACCTCCCTATTTTCCTTAGCAACAAAAAACTAATTTGCAGCGGGATTGTTGGGACAGAAAAAGGTATCCCTTTGTAATAACTCTTGACTCAGCTAAGTGGTCTTTATATAATACCCACCCACCCACCACACACACACACACATGGGTGTGTGGGTGTCTGGGTGTGTGTGTGTGTGTGTGTGTGTTAAAAAGTAGGATATCCTTAATTTATTTATACACACACACACACACACACACACATATATGCATATCAAAATTCACTCAGAAACTAACCTGATCATTAGATGAAAAAAAGAATCCACATCTGTCAAAGCACATGATTTGGTATATTGTCCTTAAAAGTCAGCAGTGAAATAAAAAGAGGAATAGAAGATGTCAGTAAGAAGCAGAAGGAGGGTTGAAAATACCCAGGCAGGAATTTTTCTGTAAGAAGTACTGCTGGGAAAAATATTTAAAAAGTGGCTTATGAGTACAAAGTTGATAAATTTAGAAAGAAAAGGAATAGAAATTCAACATAACTGGTTATAATTATAATTGTCCCAGACTAAGAAACAAGGATTTTACTTTCTGAATATGTAATAATAAATAATTGGAAATAACAAATAATTAGAAAAAACACTGAAGTTACAAAAAGTACCTTTTGCTTTCCAGCTTTTTATTATAAATTCCAGGCAGGGGTCTCCTGAGTTTTCTATTGTCTTGGAAGGGTCAGCTTCTTGAATATATTGTATTTCTTGTGATACTAAGGAGAGCAGATACTAAGAGGTTTAAACCTAAAATAAAAACAGAAGTTGAAAGAAAGCCAAGTAGAAAGAAGTGTCTCCTTAATACCTGGCAATACTAAAGAAAATTGTAAGAAACGTTGCCATAAACATGCATATGTAGCCACCACACTATTCAGAC